TATATATATATATATATATATATATATATATATATATATATATATATATATATATAAAGGTTTTATAAACCTTTGCCACACTCTTGCAATACAGTTGTCCCTCGCTACTTCACAGTTCGTGTTTTTGCAGATTCACGATATCGCGTTTTTTCAAAATAAGATTGGACAGGACACAATTGGCTGATTGATGGATGAGCCATGGGTTGTTTATTTAAAATAAATTATTTTAAATGATTTTGCACCATGTGTGCAGCCCACAAGTGCAGGGGAAGTTCCCTCCTGCAGCCTGATCAGTCGATCTCCTTCTCTGCCACACACACGTTTCTCCTGCTGCCTCGTTTTTTTATCTTTCAACTTAAAATTCAAAGTATGTCACATTGTAAAATCATCATAATCACAAAATATAAAAGTGTTAAAACTTATTTTTAATTATTTTAGAACTTCTATGTTCAGTTGTTGAAGTGCAATTGATCAAAAAGTACATTTCTGCTCCGTGCTGCAGAGCTATGTGACATCCTTTGATGTCCTGCTGCACTTCTCTTCTCTACAATTTAAATTTAAATACTGTAATATTTTAAAGAAACAATCCATGCATTGTTTATTTAAAATATTACAGTATGTAAATTTACATTGTTTATTTAAGGAGGGAGTAACAGGTGATGAGTGTGATTACAGCCTGGCACGTCATGACAAAGTTTACTGAACTTGAACTGAACTTGGACTACTGTATCCAAACTTGGCACTTTTTCCACTTCGCAGGTGGGCATGGTCCATAAAACCCGCAATAAATGAGGGATTACTATATTCTAAACAATGTTTCTGAACTTTAAACGCTCTAAAAGAACACAGCATGTCATGATCTCTGTTCTCGGCCACGCCCATTTATCCCCTGCACAGCCGAGATCGACATGCTGCAGGAGGGAGCTTCTCCCTGCACCTGTGGACTACACAGAGGTGTAGCAGTTGTTAAACAATTTTAAATAATTTATTTTAAATAAAAAAAAACCATGCTGACCATGCAGCTCATCCATCAATCAGCCAGTTGTGTGTCATGTCCAATCTTACTTTGAAAAACCACGAAACAGCGAGTCCGTGAAAGTCAAATCGCAATGTAGCGAAGGACTACTGTACTCTCAATCTTGTTTTAGAAATAACAAAACTGGTCAGTGAAGACACTAAAATATACTTTCTTCTGTAATAATGAAAAAATGTAAAAAATAAATTTTGCAGCATATAAATACCTGATTTCCCCCCCGCCAAACAAAAAAGCTTTATATATCTTCACTTCTTTAGCCATGTTTGTACCCTAGCAGCTCCCAGAACCTGCATTTGTGCGATCTCTTACATACCCAAGATGTTCTCATGCCTCAGCAGAACAGTGTTGTAGATTTCTGTTTCTCTGAACCAAGACTTCTCGTCTCTGGAGGAGAAGATTTTAACGGCGACGTTCTCCCCCTGCCACTGACCTCTCCACACCTCACCAAAACGACCCTTACCTGAGAGGTGAAGAAAACAGAAGATATCTCTGAACGCAAACATTTACAAATACCCCGGGAAGTAGCTGTCATGCATCCATAGGCGCATGGAGAAACAAACTAAACCTCTCAGAATTGTTTTTGAGGTAGAGTTAAATTTTCAGCAAACGCTGATCAAGAATAAAATAAATACATTAAACATTAATATTAAAGCTATATGAAAAAGAAAATCATAACAGAGCTAAAGATCTTGCTTTAAAACATACTTTTCAGTAAAAAAAATAAATAAAAAATATATATATATATACAGGTCCTTCTCAAAAAATTAGCATGTTGTGATAAAGGTCATTATTTTTCGAAATCAAGCCGCGTCTCTGGAACAGTTTAGAACATCAGGATGATGTCTGTATCAAAACGTTGCCTAAAAAGACAAATCTGAAAATGAAACATTTTAACTAAATATGATTCAACTCCTGGTTTTATGTGATGGGTCACATTTAACAGGATGGAAGTGACAAAACATGTTTAATTCATATCTGAATGTGTCTTGTGTTTACAAGCAAACTACAGTTTGTTAAAACTACTTGAACTTTGTACTCTGGTGGTTTAGAGGAGGCTGTAAAGACTGTTTCTTACTACCCCCTGGTGGCTATCAATTAATTTGTGTACAGTATATTTAATGTTACAGACACAATTAAAAAGATTAATGAACTCATTTCAAGATGAGCCTCTTAGCATTCCGATTGCTTATGTGCTTGTGTGTTTATGCTGCTGGTAGTTTTTCCACTGACACTTGACAGATTACAAACAATCTTTAACCCAAATTGCAAACTTGGCTCAGGGGACTTCACAGCAGGACGGTTGCATATTCACTCTGGCCCAGTTTCTGAAAATCCTCAAAGTGTTTTCCTCTTTCGCAATTCTGAACATGATTTAATATTTTGATTTGTGAGTACTTGAACTGCTAATATCAAATGCTCTGGCTGAACTCGTTGCTCTTTCAAATGAAGGCAAAGTAGGCGAAACAAACCAAGTCGCTTGAAGATGCTATTGTGTTTTTAAGGCATCTATATTTAAACTCGTGATTGAAAATAAATAAAGTTTAAAAAAAAAGTTGAATAAGACTATGTTCACATTTTTTATTTGATTTTGTGTCCCAGTCTGACTGAGGCTCAATTTGAAACCAAGAACAATCGTTACAGCTGGAACTGACCATGTTTTTTTTTGCCACATGCTCCCACGTCAGCACAATCCAGACGGAGTGATGAGGAGGCAGAGTTTCCTTTTCTCTCTTTTTTTTTTTTTTTAAGAGAACTGCATCTGAGCAAACTGCCTTTAACAAAACACTTACCCACACACTCATTGAGCGTGATTTGTCGAGCAACAGTCCTCTGAACAAGAAACGGGAGTCCTGAGCCACTTCCTGAAGTGCAGGAATGATCCAGCAGATCCTGAAAAAACAGAAACATAAAGAGATCGTGTATTTCACTGTAACCCTGTGTAAGGAAGAAAAAAAGCTCCAAAAAGAGCTGAAAATGATGAAACGCAGAGCATCTGGGACTCAGATGGGGATTAACACAAGCAAGCTGTCTTTGATGTGGCACCCACATGAGATGGAGGCTGGCATGATGTGTGTGTCTCAAGATAATGTGTTAGTGTGTGCGTGCTTCTGCTGGAGGTGCAGACTGCAGAGCACCTCCCCGCTGAGTAAACAACAGAGGAGCCACCTCCTCCCTGGTGACCGGTGTGGGCGCTGGGGATTTTATCTAATCCAAGAGCCAGACTCCAAAACAGGCGCAACGCCGCTAAGCCTTTTATTTTTATCTCATCTACGAGACGTGCAGCGACCCGGCGCTGACGCAGGAGGGCAGTGCGCGGCTACAGAGGCAGCTGGGGGAAAACTAAACGACTGGAACGGGAGGGGAGAAAACAGATTGAAAACAGAGACAAGTGATGCCTCAGATAAACAGATGCATAATGCAAGAGATGCCTGAGAGAATATTTGGAATGCAAGACTGAGGCAGAAAAATGAATGATGACTTACTCTGCAGAGAGGTTACAGCCCTCTTTGGCAAAATCGAGGATAGTCTTTTTAGGAGGGTACATCGGGGCCTGGCCTTTAAACGCCAGAATGCAATCATAAATCTGTGCCATCATTATAATCAGAGGGGCAGCAGGCTGCAGAGCTCATGTGTTTCAGTCATTTGTTTTCCATTGTTCCTCATAACTTCTCATTGCACCTTTTAACACATAAAAAGATGGCTCCATATTTGGACCTTTCTGCCTCGTGAACTGAAAGACTCTGGAAAAACACAAGAGTGTCTGCGAATCTACTCGACAGAAATGACTAACAGCTGAACACAATATTTACATAAAAAGAAAAAAATCTGGAATTTTTGAAGAGCTTGGACGAAAACCCCATTTTTACCAGAGAACTTAAAATTACAAAATGGACACCCAACAAGTCGCTCTCTCTCTGAGCCTTTCTGCTGATCTTGATTACACGGCGCGCGAGCCAGCGAATGTGCCGGGCTGTCTTTCAGACGAAACGCTAACCACAAGACTCCACCTAAACTCTGGATTGGTTTAGCAGACCTCAAAACAGAAACCACTTTGTAGAAGACGCTCAACTCATGGCTGAGTGGAGAGAAAATAAATAGTCAAGACATTCCTCTGAGACTGGTGCAAAAAAAACAAGCCTAAAGACTAAAACGATGCAAAGCACCCTTGTGCACAACACTTACACCGTTTCATCTTAAAAGTTCCACTTTTTTTGCCATATCAGGTAGAGAACAATCTTTAGATTGCATTTAGGTGTTTTTTTTTAATGGTTTGCACTAATGAATCAGGTTTGGAGACATTTTACACACTGACCCAACGTCCACACTGCTTAGGCCTAAACATTACCCGTGTGCATCTAGAACTGAAAACCACACGTTAAGGTTTCTTACTAAGAAGCTATAAACAAGAAGATGGTGGTCTTGAAATAAAATTATAGTTTCGACAAAGCATTACAGTGTCAACAAAAGCTTGTTTATTGTGCCGTCACTTCTCTGTTAGCTCCAAGTTTGTGTTCAAACAGTAGGCAAAAGTCCCAACTCATCAAAGTAAATAAAAGTTTATAAGACGTGTAATTATGAAGGGGAATTCAAGTCTTTTGTTTTTCTCTAAATATTTGCACTTCTGATTCAATCCGCCACCCCGATTCAAAAACAGGACCACTCCTGGTGTCAGTCTTTTCCACATTTTGTCAAAAACACACACAAATGAACAAAAACCGTTTGTCAAATTAAGTATCTAAATGCTGCAAAACAAATACTTTCTAATCAGATGAAAATTGCGCAAAATGAAAAGCTTAGATTTATATTTGTGTCTAAAATTATATCTGTACAGTGGGTATAAAATGTTTAAACACTAAACATGCCTCTGGAGTGATTAGTTAAAAAGATCCATCCCGTTACCAATAAGTCTAACATGCATGTTTTTGGTCTGTGGGAGGAAACCGGAGTACCCGGAGAAAACCCACGCATGCACGGAGAGAACATGCAGACTCCACCCAAAAAGGCCCCCCATGGCTGGGATTTGATCCAGCAACCTTCTTGCTGAGAGGCGGCAGCTCTACAAACTGCGCCACCGTCCTGCAGACAATTCTTAACACTCCCTTTTAAAACTTGTTTTTTAATTTTTCCCATTACAGCTGAGCCAAGTTAGTCTGAGAGCACATGTGTACCAGCCATTCTCAGGTCAATGGGTTCAGGACCAGACTTGATCAGGACTTTGTACATCTGTCCCGAAGCATTCCAGTTTCTTCTTGGCCGTGTGTTTCAGGTCGTCATCATGCTAAAACAAAACTTTCACTCTAGCCTGAGCTCCCATAGATTCTGGAAAAGATTTACACTCAGACTGTTATGCATGCCTGGATAAGCATCTTTCTTTTTATATGGACTACTGGTAGTCCTTTATTGCAGAAGAACTTCCATTCAACAATTTCCTGCGCGATCAATAAAGTTCTAACTTATCTTATAAAATAATACTCCAGTTGTACCCATATTTGACCATTTGGATGAGAAGTGTGGACTCCTTCAAACAAGTGGTTGAGAAAAAGAGCTAAATGGTTAAAATTGTTTTCATCTGATCAAAACATTTTGTTTTTCAGTTTCTTGAACAATTCCCACTTTTACCTTTTTCTGAGGTGTGACAACTCAACTGTAAATGCCTGCATCACAACTTTATAAGCAGTTAAACAACAACAGTTTTCAAACTACTGTATTTTTCGCCCTATAAGTCACGTTTTTTTAAATAATTTGCATGCCCTGCAACTTGTAGTCCGAAGCAATGTATTTATGAATTTTTTCCCCCCATATTTATAAGCCAATTTTTGGCTGAGATATGACCGTTTTCATTAATTCTGACTGAAATTTTTTGAATACTACCATTTCCAACCACTAGATGGCAGCAGAGTAGTAAGGCATGCTGTTGCATCATGTAATAGGTAAACGTGGCTATAATGACAAATTCAAAAGTTCAAGACAAAAACAACTGGGCTTTATTTATTATACTTTATACTTTGTTATTTTTGTCTTCCACTTTCGTTCTGCTCGCTGCTTGGAGCAACCGTCAAACCAGCTGCACCGCCCTGGTAAAATGCAGCTAATTTGACCATTAAAGTGCATTTATTAAGTAAAAGTTCAACTGAGACACACCTTTGCTATAATTTCAAGCAAATAAATAATTGTTTTTAGGTGCTTTTCTTGTTAAATTTCGAAGAAACACGCAGCGTTCCTCCTTTTTTCCTTTTTTTTCCGGCTGCGTGCTCCCGGGCAGCGAGTACTTTTGAAATACAGCTGATTTGACCATTAAGGTCCTTTCATTAAGCAAATGTTAGACTGAGACACATCTTTAATATAACGTGGAGCAAACAAATAATTGTTTTTGGGTGCTTATCTTGTTAAATTCTTGTTAAAGTCCTCTCGTGCACGCTCCTGCGGCCGCCATTTGGCAGCGCATTGATTTTTGGCCCAACACAAGCCCACATTTCCAGCGACTTATAGGGTGGTGTGACGTGTACGGTGGAAAATACGGTACTGGAAATAAGACTTAAGAAAAACATGTAAAAAAATTAATTACATGCACATAATTAAAAAAAAAAACTTTTTCCACAAAACATATGCAGTTGGTTTGACTGACTGTTTTGAAATGGAAAAAAAATAACTGAAACATATGAATTTTCTAATTGTTTAATAAAATTTAGGAAATATTTCAATCTTGATTTATACATTTGTATATACTTTATGAAGAATTGTGTTTATGGTGCCTTTTTAACTCCAGAAGCATTTACACGTCATTTTTTTCCACTTTTAGAGGTCCACTCAGTTTTTTATGAACCAACTCAGAATTTACTTATATACCCCATTTTATTTACTGGCTTAGACTTATTTTAAGAAAAGTCATTGTCCTGTTTAAACCCACGCTCAAAGCTCTCACCATCTTCATATTATAAGGCACAAAAATTAAAAATAATGGGAAAGACTGATCTTAAAGTCTGAAAGACCAGCCGATCAAGACTGATTTTGAGCATTGATTTTTCTAACGATTGTCAAATGATCTATTTCTTTGTCAGACGCATAGTATTGGAGTTTGTATCCCTTAAGGTTTGCCGTACTCACCGCCAGCGTGCTTTCCCCCACATTAGAAGCTATAAGTCCATCAATTGTTCCATATTCAGCATCTCGGGATGTGAGCCTTTCCATCTGGTTGCGGTGAATGCGTCTGAACACGAAGATAGCCACGGCAGAGAGGAAGATGAGAACAATGATGGGCGCCACAATGGCAAGTACCAGTGTGGTCATGCTGTAGCTGGACAGCTCATCTATAAAAAACAAACAGAAAATTATCAAAATTAGTTTGACAATAATAAAAAAAAAACATCATCAGTCTTCTGTTCTGATTGAATTTGACTTTTTGAAGCCAAAACATAAACAACCCATATGTCTGCAGCACTCTGAAGACGTTAGGTGAATAAGAGAAATAAAAAAGTGTTGACTCGTGGATATTCAGAGTGGATTTCATCACATAGAAAAAGGCCAACTTGATGAACTGACCATTCACACATTCCAAACATTGCAAGGCAGAGACTGCTCTGCAGCGCCAACAACGTTCCCACTTTTCTCAACTTGCATAACGAACTCCTTCTTCCTCAAAACATGCAACTATCAGTGTTTGGGTGCTCAGTAGACTCGAGCACAGCCTGTTGAAGAGGACGAGTTTAGCTAGAAAACATCTTAAAAGCCGCTCTTTTTATATTTGCGGTAAGAACTGATACAAGTAGTTTTATATTACAGTAAACATACAGCCAGTTGAGAGAAATGTTCCACTTAATTACATCATTACATTTTGACCCAGTACTCACAAGTATTATAAATATTACACAGAGCGCTGCTGTTAAAGGAAATTACAGGTAAAAGTAACAACATGAGACAACAGCTCTGTGTGCAGCTGCCAGTCTTCAACCCCTTAGTGGCCTCACTTTCTGAGCTCTTGTCAGCCAGCTCCGACAGCCACTGAAAGGACAGAGGAAGAAGCAGACCGTGACTAAATAATATTCTAAACCAGGCCAGTTGCCCTCCAACTCCCCCTTATCTGTATTACAAGCTGCCAGGAGTGTGACCACACCGAGGTGCAACAGAACCGCCAGGAGAGATGATTTTAGCTGATGGCAAAAGCATTTCTGTAGAACAGCAGATATAAATACTATGAACACATACACACAAAAACATTTAAATATTAAATGACTGATCCGTTTACAATTATGAAACAGTGGTTAGTATGCACCTTGCTCTAATTAAAGTAAATGAGTACAATTATCCCTCCTGGATGCCTCCACCTGCAAAAGCATTGGAATGATACAGCTAGTTTTATAAACAATTACCGTATTTTCTGGCATATAAGTTGCAGGTTTTTTGCATAGATTTGTCAGTCCTGTAGGTTATACGACGGAACGACATGTAAAGCCGTTTTGACCATTAAATAAATGCATAATAAACGCGACGGGTCAGCAGTGACTCATAATAAATGCAACTTATACGCAGAAGCGACTTATATATTTTTTTCTCTTTAGGATGCTTTTTTTGTGTAGTGAACCAGATGACCTGATGATCTGACCCTTATCTGACCCTGATGACCTCAAATCTACCAGATGGACAGAGACTGTTATTTTCATTGATCTGAATAAGTCTGAGCCATCTGATGACTTTCTTTCTTGAATTAATCAAGCAGAAAAGACAATCCTCTATAATCATTACTGTTTTACAAATGTTTTGATAATCAATTGTGTTAGTTTCACTCAATGCTTACAGGTTGAAAAGAACTACTCATTTTTATTTTACATAAACAGTAAGTAATGATTTTTATTCCTCATTCAAAGAAGAAATCACCTGAATATGCATTTCTTGATTTTCTGTCTGAAATGAGTCAAGTCGTAAGTATGTGAAAGGTTGGTTTTCGGTCAACTAAAATGTTTACCGAGAAAGATGTCATGTTTAAACTTTTTCAGAAGATTACCAAGAGTTGACTCCACGAAGTCTGCTCTCCTGCAATAATCTCTCTGTCAGTTGTTAAAACAATCTCATTCTCTGACCTTGGCTTAGATAACATCTTACGTCACAAAACCACTCCTCTTTCTGGTCCATCCACGAATCAGAAAGCTCTGAAGTAAACTCGGAAGTAAACTCATTTAAAATGTGACAACTTCCCGGTTCTGGGAGAGAGTTGGAATGGTGAAGAGTGCAGTAGATTCCATGGAGTGCAGTCGGTTCCAAGAGATTCCAGAGTTAGAGTTATGGAGAGTTTTGGAGTTGGAGTCTGAGAAGATCTGAAAGAGTCTGAGAGCTGCTGACAATGAAGAGTCAGAGTTGCCGAGAATCCAGAGACGTTTGGGATTATAATTCTGTTTTGAGCTAACCACGCACGACTCTCCAAGGATTTTAGCTGTTCTCAACGGAGACGCTGATATCAGTCTGAAGGTTCTTACTGAGGTGATCTATCGTCAACAAGGTAACGGTTTCTTCTTCGACTAAAGTGTACCTGGGATAAGCTGAGATACCTGATGGGAGCGTGCAATTTCTGGTCAAACAGATTAAATTCCCTCACATATTCCTCTGTAAGATAAATCTCAATTTCCTCTTAAACTCACCTCTCTCTCATAAATCAGTACAGATATTTTTAGAAATATCTGAAGCAAAGTCCTCAAATCACCGCCGAGTGATTTGAAGTTCATTATTTGTGAAACTGTCTGTTATTATTTTCATATTTTGCCAAATTAATGTAAATGTTTGATGTTAAACTTTGATTCTGAAAATAAATGACTCCATTCATTTGATGGGTCAAAGGTAATAACGTCTCTCGTTCGCATTTCTGTTAAAATTCAATGCACGACATTACAGTCAGAAAAATGAAGAACTCGTGAAAAGTATGCATAAATATATACCACATATATTTGTCATACAACAAGTGACACGTACCCACGTGACTCACTACATTTGACGGATGCGACTTATACTCCGGAGCAACTTATACGCCAGAAAATACGATAGAATATTTTCACCTAAATTCTGATGGTATGTTTGGTGCAAAAAAGTACAGCACTATGAATATCTTATTTATTCATAGTAGCTGTGAAGCATAGTGGTGGCAGTATTGTGCTTTGGGACTGCTTTTGTTGGAAAAGCCTGTAACTTTAGTTTTGGTGGCGGGATTAAAATGCTAAAAACTAGTCAGCTTTGGGGAAAAAGCTGATAGAAAGTCAAAATTGAAGAGGAATTTTGTCTGTTTGACAGTCATGCTAAGTATATTTTCAAATCAACAAGGATTAATCAAGGAGTCAAAATACTGAAGAGTAAACCAGAACCCAGATTTGACTCCATTTGAAAAACTGGGTTGATTTAAAGAAAGCTGTACACGGACGATAAGTTTGAAATACTAGTACAATATATAATTTAGAGACTTTTTGCACAAACAGGCGGAAAAAATGACTATGAATGTTAATGTATTATAATGTATTACATTAAAAAATTATTTTAAGGCCTTTATAGCTACGATTCAGAGAAATAAGTGACAGCATTTAATCATCGGTCTGTGAAAAGTAAAGTTGCTCACTGTGTGTGTGTGGGATATTTGAAACTCCTGTGAGTTTACACAGCACATGTAGTCAGGAAGCCTAAATCCCATTTTAAGGTTTGCACAGATTCTAATTGTTTACCATCTATATATCATTATATCATAATATGACAGTAGCCAAGTGTCTAAAAGCTCTTTGAAACATACCAACAGCAATGAGAAGCAGCTAAATCATTTTCACATGGTGGAACTTGTTAAACAGAGCTATATTTGAGAGGAACTGCACCACTCCAACAGCATAGCTGTTATATTCACAAGAAAAAAAATGTTTACTTAATCTGAAGACACCATCTTTATTGTGACTGGCATTTGTCAAATCAGAAGATGAACCATCAATAAAAAACAACTTTAAGTCCTTTACAGCCTTTTCATTGCATTTATTTATCAAGCTGACCAGTACGCTGAACTGTGTTAATCAAAGAGACAGGAAAAGTTGAAAAAAAAATATTAGAGCCACACCTTTAGTAGTTTTGTGAACTTCTAATGTATTCCAGACATTATTGTGCTGTACCTCTGATGGGAAGCTCCACAGTGCTGTTCAAGTTACACAGGTGACCTTGGCAACACTCGACAATCTGATCTCTGGATGGCGGGGTCTTGCAAGTCAATGTGCTCTGCTCATACACCTTAAAGCAGCCTTTCTGATACACTGGGGAGCCGGCATTGACTGTCAGGGATGAGAAACACTGATGGCCTGTGCAGCGATTCCCTGTTACACACGAGATGCCCTCGCACACACACTCGTGCTCATCTACGATCAGGGACTTCATATCTCCTTCTGTAAAAGATTCAGCAAGAAAACAAGCTTGAAAATAATTAGTTTATACTTTTTTTTTTTTTTTTAAAGACTCATGAATTAGTGTTATTTAAACGTACAGATATTCTGAGCCAAAGTTATGTGACAGAAGCCAACTCAAATTTGTACAGTGCACACAAAGTCACCTTTCGCAGGAACTTGCACAGTAACGTTCATGTTACACAGATGGCCCTGGCAGCACTTGACAACATGAAGCGATGAGTGTGGCGTGGCACAGGTGGTTCTGCCCTCGTTGTCGTCCCTCAGGCAGCCCTTCTGTTGGACGGCTGCCCCGTCGACCATTTTCACAGAAGAAAAGCACTGCTGGCCTGTGCAGCGATGGTCAAGTGCACACAAATCTCCCTCACATACACACTCCTGGTCTCTGAGGACTGGTCTGCCTGCCGACTGTTCGACATCTGATGCAGAGATATGGAGAAAAAAACCCATTAGACCAACACCATTAATCCTTTAAATTAAATAGCATTCACTCACGTCAAACATGTAGGTGGAAAACATCATTTTACTGGTCAGCCACTACAGAAGCCGCAGACGTTTAAATTTGTTTTCCTTTTTGAAATCCAACACCTGCTACTATAAAATGGATTTCTGGCCAACACCATCCGCCTTTCAAAAATAAATTCAGACTGAAACAATATCCTGCACTACTTTAAAACTTGTGCATTCCTGTTCTTTAAATAACTCACTCCAGGAAAATATGTTAACGATTAATATATACACACTTCGTCAACTGTTCGTGATAGTGACCAAAACCTTTTAGATATATTGGAAGAATCTGCCGCACAAGGACGTTCAAATAGTGCGTTTCCAGTTGCGAGAATGGGGTTCAGAAGCTGAAAGTTAAAGCCACTGAAAGAGATTCATGATTCATGCAGTTTTCCATCTTTCTTCTATAAGTTCAAATATATATGTTTGTTTTCCCCCACTTTGTTTGGCTTCAACAAGTTATTTGAGATTTAAAGAAATGTCATATTACACCGTGATTGACAGTATGACAGCCTGTTAGTGAAGGAGGCTGTGTAGGCGGGACTTTTGTATCAAGGGTGCAGCCCCACATCCCGCAGTGGGCAGACTGACTTCAAAAACATAACATGGTAGCTCTCAAAGTACCGTAACTACCGTTCTACAAGCCACTACTTTTGTCTCACGCGTTGTACCCCATGGTTTATATGCAGGAGCATCTTATTCATGTATTTGTTTCATAATTATCAAAATTTATATTTTTATATTTTATTTTGAAGAACTTCCTGCTGTCCCTCGATAGCTTCCTGCCACTGACTAACTTTCCTTTGACAGAGCTGGGCGCTCTGGCTCCCAGCACCCTGCCCCTCATGGAGGCAGGCGTTTGTGACACAGACATAATGCCCTCAGGTAATCAGATGTACAAGGACTTTTGCTCACGTTTTCAAATACCCAACCATAACTCCACCCACTCCGTCATCATGTGACCAGAAGTCTAACCTGAACGACAAACGAGGTACTCTCGAAGACCAGGCCCCAAGAAAGACGTGACTTCATTTCTTCAGATCGTTCCAGTGTTGTTTATCGTATTTTGCGTTTCATGTACAGACCTGTTCATTTGTTCAGCGATAATAGAAAACGCACGGAAAATTTCTTATGACGCAGCTTTCATGTTAAAAGCGATCGATCGGCTGTCGGAGGAAACGGCTTGCAGCCCGTAAGCTGCATCAACGTGTGTCGATGGTCGGGCATTGGAGACGCAAAGCAGTCAAGTCTGGTACATGTTTTAATAAAAGTTTTTAAATTCTTTCGTGCGACATCTTTCTGTGTCGGTAAATATGCATTTATATACCGGGATCTCGTTTTAAACTCACATCTGAACACGAAGCGGAGATTCAGAAGGAGTCTTCCCCCCTCCCCTTCCATCTAAGAGAGCTCAATGGTGGACAAGTCATCAGATTTATTTTTAAAGCGTCAGTCAAGCTTGGTACATATTTCAATAAAAAAATTTTAATAAAATCTTCCTGTGTATGGTAAATATATGTTTAAATAAAAGTGTTTACCAAAAAAAAAAAAATAAATAAATAAATCAATGGTACTAATTTAATTAATATTTACTGCATTCTACCGGTACTATTTGACTTTAGGTCACATGACCTTGATAAAACTGTGTAAACCGGCAAATAATTTTTAAATAATTTCAGTTACCTAGGTGTTGGCACTGCTCTGTCCAGTGATTATGCTTATTGTATTCATTTTGAAGGTATAATGGTTTGAACCATGAGTCACACAGCGAAGCTTCATGACAATCTTGCAGTCTGAGAAACATGTTGAAAGTAAGCTATATTCTGTGAAACTCCATTTCCATGGCTGATTCTTGTACTACAACAATAAAGCTGCAAATAGCCGGAGCAGTCTGGGGTCACAGTTCCTGACAAACGATGGATGCCCGCGGCTAAATATCCGGAGCGTCTTATTTATGTACAAAATTATGATTTATCTTATATTTAACAAGTGCGGGTTAGAGACAGGCGCGTTCTAAAGCCCGACAATTACGGTACAGACATTTTGGCTTCAAGTCTGAGCAAAGGGAGAATACGGAGCTGATTTGTTCATCTTTGATAATGTGAATGGTCAAAACCATTTGGATAAAGACACATAAAGCATATGTTATAGAATCTGCACTCAAGGCGAAGCAGATGGCCACTTGTCCTGAGCCTGGTTCTGCTGGAGGTTCCTTCCTCATGAGGGAGTTTTTCCTTTCCACTGTTGCCTTCATGCTTGCTCAAGATGAGAGTCTGCGACGAAGTGAAGACTCAAAGCAATCTTCTGGCTCCTCACATAAATAATATAATCAACTTACTTTTTATGTATGAATGTTTCTGTTCAGTGCCCTGAGATGACTTATGTTGTGATTTGTCACTATATAAATAAATTGAATTGAACTGAAGTGCAATGCAATTGACAAGTAACAAGAAGTACATTAAAATGTTTATTTTAAGTCAAATCATCCCTGCGTTGGAAACTTTTGAAGCAACAATGAATTCATCTTCCACAGATGCTTTCTATCCTTTCTGAAGCCTAAAGAGAGAACAACTCTTCCACTGCCTAAATAATTGTAACTTCATCCATCCATCCATTATCTTTACCCGTTTATTTCATTTTGGGTCACGGGGGTCGCTGGTGCCCATGTCCAGCAATCACTGTGCGAGGGGCGAGGTACACCCTGGACGGGTCGCAAGTCCATCACAGGGCCACATAGAGACAAACGAGACAAACAACCATTCACTCTCTCAGTCACACCTAGGGACAATTTAGAGTTACCAATCAGCCTAACATGCATGTTTTTGGTCTGTGGGAGGAAACCGGAGTACCCGGAGGAAACCCATGCATGCACGGAGAGAACATGCAAACTCCACCCAGAAAAGCCCCTGGACCGGGGTTTGAACCAAGGACCTGCTCGCTGAGTGGCAGCAGCTCTACCAGTTGCGCCACCGTGCTGCCCCATAATTGTAACTTGAATTGCACATTTAACTCTTTATAAGGGGTCTACACAGAGAAATTCTCAACGTGTTGAAAACACAGATAGCATGTTATGTGGTCAACAAAAGGCTGAATGTTAATAGTTAAAACCTCATGTCTATTTGCAGACCACTCACCTTTTACTGGGGACTGCAGGGAGATGTTCATGTTGCACAAATGCCCAACACAGCATTTCACCACCAGCTCAGGAGTTGGTGGGTTTCCACAGCGCATGGGACCATCTTCAGTACCCACAATGCATCCCCTCTGAAAAACTGACGTCCCGTTCAGAACAGAGAGAGAAGTAAAGCACTGTTGGCCATAACATCTATCCCTGTTGCTGCAGGATGGTCCGTCGCACAAACATTCATTTTTTATACTTTCTTCCTCTGAAAAAGAAAATTGAAAGCAAATCAGAATCCCCCTATAGAAAACACAAATCCTGCAATGAAAGACCCTTTCTTTATGCAAGGGAGACAATAATCACAGTTTGCTTTTTTCTATACATATGGGGGAAAGGTGTGGATGCCACTGTGAAAAGCACTTTCCATTGCAATCCACCATCACTGCAGCTGTTTAAAATAACAGTGCCAGACAGCAGATGAGAGGGAGACAGACTGAGGAAGGGGTAGTGAAAGGGAAAAAAGTGTGATTTTTGTCTACGCATGCAAGACACAAGAAGGGAGGCAGGAAAGGCTTGAGATGCACCATACTGACTGAACTGAAAAAGAAAAGATGAATCATGAATGTCTGGCAAACACCTTTTCAGTGGGTTAATATATATTTAGTGAACATGAGTGTCATACATTAATTATAGAGTTTGAATTAGTAAGCTGATGGTTAACAGTAAACACAGAAGAAGCATTACATCCTATGCTTGGAGAAACCCTACCCCATTTAGCTAAAGTTTCATATTATTAGGTCTCCTGTGATAAGTTTTGCTTTGTGACTAAATGCTTACCCTTTATGCTGGAACACGGTAGAACCAGTGTGAACAGAACCCAGAAAAAGGCTTTAGTCATCATTGTATACCTGAAAGAAAAAAAAAAAAGCAGATAAATACTAAATGAGAGACATCTTTCAAGCGTTATAAACAGAATGAAAATGAGCACGAAAAAAGTTTGTGTACATTGGAAAATAATTTTCTGTACTCCACTCAGTAAGAAAGTGAGATGAACGAAGATGGTACAATTTGCCATCCACCTCAAGGTGCTGGAGGGCACAACTTTACAAATAGAGACTTTCTCATTACAAAAAAACTAAGTAAAGTGGGTCTCATGTCTTCCTGTTGTCCTGGCAACAAGGCATTGAGTGGCATGCAATGGGGAAACTGGTGCTCTCATTGGCTGGCTGTGTGAGAGTGACTGTGTTGATGTACGTGTGTTGGAGGGACAGAGTGCTTGGCAAATGAGGGAAGAGGAGCAGACAGACATTAGGAGGAAGAGGAAGAGAAGAGGGTACAGGACAGTAAATAGAACAGCCAAGTTATCCTCAATACAGTACTATTATTTACACACCTGGAACATTGAGATAGAAATTGTAAAGCACATGTCTAAATGACAGATACTTGGCAACAAACTAGTTCAACTATCAAAGCAAACTGAAAAATGAAGAAAAAAAAATACAATTTTTAACAATATTATTTAAGTTTTCTAAAGACATAGCCTGGAGTGTTCCCTGTTCCTGTTAAACCGAGCACGAGGAACATTATCTTGGCAGCGTGAGCGTCTGAGTGCATCTGTGCCGCTGATAAATACCCCAACACCACCTACCTCAACACCCCCCACCCCACCCCCCACCCCCAAGCCTTTGTGCCCATCTCCCAGACATAAATGATTAAGCATGTAATGTTAGCATTAGCCCAACGGCAGCGTCTGTACAGTGACGCTCAAACAGACCACATGCTGCTCCTTTAATCAGGGCACAAAACAGAGGCTGCCACACAGAGATAATCAGGAGCTGTGTCTGCTCCCTTGGGACGAGAGGGGTGGAGGAACGGTAGTCGGTGCAGAGAATGGGCACGAGGGCATGTGGAGGCATTGCTTGGGTGCGACTGGGGGGCAGTAGGTCAAAGAGAGGAGTAAGAAGGACTGCTACAGTGATGTGTAAGTCTAGTGTCAACACCCATAGGACGGGGGGGGGGGGGGGGGACTGTGAAGTGAAGGATGGTGGTGTCTGTATAAATTTATGTGTAAAGAACTATAACATAAATACTAGTGTTCTGCAAAACTTTGCCCACTTATTTTATAGTGACGCATTAACCAGTCATTCAAAACCAACACAGTAATTACCTCACCTCAATTAGCAGAGCAGAACACGTCTTGTGGTTTTACTTAATTACTTCAAACAGCTAATGATTTGCTGTATTCCTATTTAAATTTACTGCCAAAAACCCATAGGAAAAATCATCTACCTCACATTGTGAAAAATACTCTCCAAGAAGTAAGCACCCCAACCATCCAGCCCAACCAATTATGTGTTTATACAGGTTGTATGCTGTTTATCAGACTGTAGGGATACAGCACTTAATCAAGCCTTTGTATCAAGGATCAAATGACATTTCGGGTCACCGTGTCTCCATCATGTTTACAGCTGGTCTCCTCATAATGCAGCATGATAGATAACAATTTAAACAGAGTACCAAAGTTGTATTTTTTATGTAGCAATACATTACAAGTTTACATGCATGCAAAAGTTAATTATATACAGTATTTACTTTACACACACACACAAAGGACAAAATAAATAAAGCCTCATCCACACTCCGAGGCATGAAGAAACATGAAGCTGCCTAACGGCTTTTGGAGTCCTGATACTGGAAACCTCAGAATGGATTCTTGGGAAGGAGCAAGGCAGGTCTAGCATCTGCAGAACTGATTGCGATCTGAGTACACAGTTTTGTGGAGCTCCGGGAGTGTGTATTGCAGCCCTCTTCTCCCGTGTATTGAATTCTTTGGCCGTGTTGTGTAGCGACGAGCGCTCACAAAACTGACATGCAGCCAAGGGTGTGCTCTCAACCCCTCTTGTTCTCCGATTCAGTGTCGTTTTAGGAAACTAGATTGAATTCCAGATGGTTTTTTTATAGCTTTCGATAAGCCTTTTAATTTCTTGCATTTGATACCAATAAACCTAGCAAGAAAAAAAAATACATTACAAAAAGAAGGGACCAAATAATATTGATGCAATACTAGTGAATTTTAAAAAGATCAAGTGAAAGGGATTTTTTTTATGTGCAAAATGTCTGTTAAGTATATAACAGTGTTTAAAGAGATATTTTTGTTTATTACATGTTCATTCTTTTATTTTGAAGGACACAGTAACGGGGTCAGAAGTTGCGCTGTAAAGGCGAGATGAAAGGGAAAATAAATAAATAGCGGAGACACCGTTCGTTGTATTGATCATTTTATCTACTACTAAATGTGTTTAACAATAAAAATAAATGGTACAAATTTAATGAATATTTACCATATTTTACAGGTATTATTTGACTTCTGGTCACATGACCTCGATAACAATGCTGGGTAAAATTGACAGGTGTATAATTTTTAAATAATTTGGGTTACGTAGGTGTTTGGCACTGTTCTTCCAGTGATTATGCTTAGATAGTTCTTGTGTTCATTTTGTACGTTGAATGGTTTTAACCACGAGTCAGAGAGTGAAACATCATGAAGACTTATGGCGGCGATCGTTCAGTCTGAATGTGTTGAAAGAAAGCTATGGTCTATGAAACGCCAGCAGACGGCTGATTCTTGTACTACAACAAGAAAGATGCACGTTATGCCAGAGATGGCTGGGCACAGATGAGCGGTGGGTGCCCCCGGCTTAATAACTGGCGCGTCTTATTTATGTACAAAATTATGATTTATCTTATATTTACTATGCACGGCTTAGAAACAGTTGTGTTCTACAGCCTGAGAATTATGGTAGTGTCCAGCAGATGTGTTGCTGGTGACTTTGAGTAACTTCCTGTGGATCAAAAGTCTGTCTTCATTCATCCATGCATTATCTTTTACCCCGCTTCTTTTTTTTCAGGTCGTGGGCGTTGCTGGTGCCCATGTCTAGCAGTCACTGTATGAGAGGTGTGGCACACCCTGGACAGGTCGCAAGTCCATCACAGGGCCACAGAGACAAGACAATCAACAAGTTACACTCTCACAACTAGAGCCCATTGTAGAATTACCTGTAAGCCTAACATGCATGTTTTTGGTCTGTGGGAGGAAACCAGAGTGTCTGGAGAAAACCAGCACACGCACTGAGAAAACATGCAAACTCCACCCAGAAGGGTCTCTGGCTGGGATTAGGCCCGGCAACCTTTTTGCCAAAAAGCGACAGCTCTACTAACTGAGCCACCGTGCCGTTGCCTTTGTTCATATCGAATTTAAATTTGTTAATGACGTGAAGACTATTTGTTTCTTATGCATTGTAAAGTTTTGTTCTCAGCAAAGATAAAGAAAAAACAAATCTAGAAAGCAAAGTTTAATTTTGAGCAGTATCTGGTTCTGGTAGATTTTGTAACTGAAAAACTGAAACAAGACTAGAGTAGAAATGCTTCACTTTGTACTTCAACAGTATTAAGGCTATACCACTTAAGTTATTTGGTTTAAATGAAATTCAAAGTGCAGGGGTAATCCTTTAAACATATTACTTCTGCTTAAGGAATCAATATTTTTTTCCACAGTATCCCTTATGATGATTTCTGAACCTTTGCAACCTTCTACATGAAGGGATAAAAGACCACATTTGAGCTGAACACAAATCAACCAAAGTGTGCACAACCTAAAAGAAATCTCTAAAACAGACATGGCCTAGTGAAAAGTGTGTTAGGCTTGACTCCTGCTGAGTGCTACTGGAGACACATAAAAGCAAACCTTCCTATCATGGCTCACATTTTTTGACGGCACATTTCCTACTCGACTCTTTCCCTAGATCCCACTCTAGAGAGCTATCTGGACTACTCTTAAGAGGTTGAGAAGAGCTTAAAGTGATTATGTAGAGATGATTACATATGCTTTTCACGTTCCGTTAATACAACTGAACCCTAAAAATGCCTGCAGCCAGTTATGATGATTGAGAAACCATCTTAAAAGTTGGTACACTGAAAAAGATTAAAAATTTCTACTATTATGCTGAAAATGTTATGATTCATTATCTCAAACTGACTGCTGAAACAGCTTTCCACAGCAACTAAAGCATGTGTGCCTGGATGCTTTAATATTTTTGGTCTATTTTGTATGCAGGTCAGGTAAACGAGAGAATGAGAAAACACTACTTTGTCTGATGAGCATGGCGCATCACTGAGGTTGAAGACGAAGGTTTGCTGAAGCTGTACAGGAGCTGCTGAGTCATCATACTGGCAAAAAGGCAAAAAGGGAGATAAGATGTGGAATCAGTGTCTGAGCTGGCAGGCTGGCATGGTTACCATGGCACAAACAGCCTAGGCACTGAGGAAACTGCAGCAAACTGCAGGACGGCGAGTGGAAGAAACAGCCCGAGAGTGAGGCAATGCAAAGCCCTGTTCGTGTCCCTGTTACTCTCCCTGACCTGCAACCAGACAGCCAAAGAGCCAGCATGCCATCAGGGACACAGATGGTTTGCTCCTAGGTGGATGCGAGTTTAATGCAGACCTAAGGGCAATAGCTATGCTTTTTACTGCAGCCCAAATTCAAATTTACACAACAGCATGGCAGATCAACACGCTCACCTTTCTATGCCAAATAAAATATATGTAGAAAGACAAAAAAATGCACAATCGTATCCTAAATCCTAAAACGATAGGAGACACTCGAAGCAAAGCAGACCTTAAAAATATTATAAAGGAAATTAAAATCAAGTCAAGATTCTTTATTGTCATTCACACCACATGCGGTACATACGGTGGAACGAAACTGTGTACACATGGTCCCAGTTACATCCAACAAAAGTATAAATTGTCAAGAAAAACAGTAGTAAGATCTAAGATATGAACTAAGAAATATGCTAAAATTGAGGCTACAGTAAGCACAAATAGTACAAAAACAATATGCCGAACAACA